ATCACTATGAAGTAAAATTTTAAATATTGTAGTTAAATGAAAATCTGACTTTGCATCTGGAGCTACAGGTTGAAAGAAGCGAGCATGAGCTGAAACTCCAACCTTTAATGCACCACGTCTATTCAATTCGCGAGTAACATATTTTTTGAAATATGCATAGCTCTCGTGCAAAAAGTCATTTAAAAAATATATTTTTTCCTGATCTATTGGTGTAATTTGAGCTGTGCATACACAATTTCGAAAACGTGTATCTTTCCACCTCCATTGTAAATCGCATTGTGTAATGCGAAAAACTGATGGTAGAGTAAGATCCAATTGAAATAAGCTTGCTATGCCATCTCCAATCTCTTCATTATTTTCAATAATCGCATCGAGTGGAAAATCATCTACTGATAAGTATAATGGTTTAGGTGCATTAGTTACAGCATCTGTTAATGTTATTATAAATTATTCTAAGAAATTTAAGTTTTCTAAGGGATATTCTATATTCATATTAGATGTGAAAATACTAAACTTTCAAGAAGATAATGAAGCTGCTTCTTTTCCTCGTCTTTTAACAGAAATATTCTATATTTATATTAGTGTTATGTTAGTTATAAAAATAATAGTTATATTAGTTGTAAAATTTACTTTTTAAGAAGAATTTTCTTCAGACTTTGATGATGATACTTTTCGTCGTTTTTCGATGACTTCTTCCCACCTGAGAATGTGTAAATCAAACAATTAATTCATTTTATTTTCAAAATATTAATAACATCATTATTAATTATTTAATTAATTAATACTTACTTATTATTCTTTAACTCTTGAATTATATTCACATCATCATCATCGGTAATTACGTCTCTTGTCTCTCTTTTCTTGCTCTTCTTCGCCTCCTTCTCATCAGAGTCATCCGTATCTTTTTTCTTTCTCCCCTTCTTCTCCTCATCTGTGTCTTCTAGATCTTTCTCCAAATTCCTTCTCACTTTCTCTCTCTTCCTCCTTTACTTTTCCTCCTCCTCATCAGACTCATCTGAACCTGAACCACTTCTTGTACACCTTTTCTTTTTATGTAACTCTCCGATGGTGACTATAAATTCACTTCCTTTCTTTTATACGAAACGTAGTAGCCGTTTTTGAATTGAGGAAGATCT